TGAGACAAAGTGAGAAAGCAAGCCGCCGTCCCCCCGCCCCTCCCCCTCTGCCCCAGGCTTTCCTCGTTAGGATGCTTTGCATTATGGTAGCACCAGCAAACCCTAGGCATGACCTAGGACCCTTGCTGTGCCAAGCGCTGGACATTAAGGTATCTCGGTGCACCCCAGGGTGCATTATTAGGATACTACATCAGAACCAAGGGCCGGCCAGACTGGGTCAGACCAAAGGTCCCTCTAGCCCAGCATCCTGTCTCCTGGCAGTGTCGTTAGGATGCTTTGCATTATGGTAGCACCAGCAAACCCTAGGCATGACCTAGGACCCTTGCTGTGCCAAGCGCTGGACATTAAGGTATCTCGGTGCACCCCAGGGTGCATTATTAGGATACTACATCAGAACCAAGGGCCGGCCAGACTGGGTCAGACCAAAGGTCCCTCTAGCCCAGCATCCTGTCTCCTGGCAGTGCCCAATGCCAGGTAGCACCTAGGTGCCCCAGGGACCCAGTGTCAGGCACTGCACATTATTAGGGGTGTTACAGTAGCATCTAGGCAGCCTAGGACCCCAGTGTACCTGGTACCACACTTTAGTAGGTTAATTATGGTAGTGTCTAGTCAGCCTTGCAGGAATCCAGTGTGCCAGGCACTGCATATTGTTGGGAGTGTTATGGTAACACCTTGACCCCACGAGGAGCCCAATATGCCGAGTACTGCACATTATTAGGTGTATTACGGTAATACCTAGGCAGCCCTGGAGGAACCCAGTGGGCCAGGCACTGCACATTATTAGGGGTACTATGGTAGCACCCAGGCAGCCCCAGAGGAGCCCAGTGGGCCGGGCACTGCACATTATTAGGGATATTACGGTAGCACCCAGGCAGCCCCAGAGGAGCCCAGTGGGCCGGGCACTGCACATTATTAGGGATATTACGGTAGCACCCAGGCAGCCCCAGAGGAGCCCAGTGGGCCGGGCACTGCACATTATTAGGGATATTACGGTAGCACCCAGGCAGCCCCAGAGGAGCCCAGTGGGCCAGGCACTGTACATTATTATGTGTATTACGGTAGCACCCAGGCAGCCCCAGAGGAGCCCAGTGGGCCAGGCACTGTACATTATTATGTGTATTACGGTAGCACCCAGGCAGCCCCAGAGGAGCCCAGTGGGCCAGGCACTGTACATTATTATGTGTATTACGGTAGCACCCAGGCAGCCCCAGAGGAGCCCAGTGGGCCAGGCACTGTACATTATTATGTGTATTACGGTAGCACCCAGGCAGCCCCAGAGGAGCCCAGTGGGCCAGGCACTGTACATTATTATGTGTATTACGGTAGCACCCAGGCAGCCCCAGAGGAGCCCAGTGCACTGGGATGCCCCCAACCATGGGGGTGTCTCTGCTTGCCTAGGGGGCCCCTGCTGCCCTCCGCCATGCCCCCCACAGCCTCCCCACGTTCTGCCCCGGCCAGGCCCTGGCCCGGCTACTCACCGTGGGGAGGCGTCGGGTGCAGGAGCCGGCTGGATGCGAGGAAGATGCTGGAGCTTCCAGTCCCTCTGGCTGCTCTGCTGGCTGCTCACCAGCCAGGGGCTTTATAGCCCAGCTGGCTCTGGGAATTAAAGAAGGAGGAAGGCTCCTCCCCTCCCCCCAGCATTCACTGATCAATGTGCTGCCATCAGCCACTCCCTGTGCCTCCTCCAGGACAGCGGGGTCCCTGCCAAGGGAGGGGCCCTGGGATGAGCCCCAGGGAAAGTGGCAGAGATGGGCATGTCCCAGCCCAGGGTGGGAAGAGGGGTTGGAGGGGGTGCCAGTGTTTGGACTCAGGAGTCAGGGTAGGTCACAGTCGGGGGGGGGGGGCTAACCTCAGTGTCCTGGCCAAAGCCCCAGATCCCCTCAGCTGGACCCTCGCACCCGGTCCCAACCTGTTCGGTAGCCCCGCTAGGCGCTGTTACACAGGCACCATGTTCCAGCCCAGAGGTGGCTGCACTTCAGCTCTGGGCAAAGTGTCTCTGGTTGGACAGCGGGTGACTGTCCTGACTGTAGGGGGATCACGCAGACAGGAGCAGCCACATGACAACATCTGTACAGGTAGGAAACGGTGGAAGAAAAGAGTCGGGATGACAGACAAGAAGTGAAGAAAATCAGAAAGCTAAAAAGAGACAGACAGCTGCCCAAGTAGACCCTCTGCCTGGCAGCATACTGCAGATTCTACGGTGTCTCTGTGCAGCTCAGCTCTTTCTTTCTTCTCACCTCCGACCTGCCTCATAGTCCATCTCAGTCTTTCTTTTTCTTTCTGCCAGTCAGTCAGACAGACGGTGCACAACCAGCTTCTCCAATGCTCGCTCTTTAGCCCCCTTGGCCAGGACCAGCCATAAACTCAACCCTCGTGTTCCCCAAATGCCAGGCCTGGAGAGCTTCCCTGTAGCCTGACCCACTCTGGAGGGCCCAGAGAACCCAGACCATGGGAGTGTGGGGCGGCCAAAGGGTTTGTTGCCAGGTATTCTCACAGCCAGCTATTTGGGGCAAGGTCTTTTTGCAGTCTGTTCCCTGCCCAGCCCAATGTGGCCCAGTCTCTAGCTGGGGATCTCTGGGGGCTAGAATATTAAACAATATACGTGGCGGCACTTGATTTGTGTGGCGTGAAGCCACGGAGGAGCCACGGCCAGGGATCCCAGCTGAACACTGCTTGCCCCTCGGCACTGCACCACACCAGTGTGTGTTCTCTGGGCCACCTCTTCTGGAACAGGCTCCAAAGCATTTGACTGGGGCCAGTTCCCACGGCCTTTGCCTGGCAAGCCAACATTGCCATAAGAACCAGAACGCAACCGGCCTGGCCTGGCCGGAGGAAAAGCCCCTAACTCCCTTTTCTCCCGCCCTTTGGCGACTCCCACTCTCATTGCTCCTGCCCCGCCGGGCGTGTCGCGTGCTGCTCCAATGGGAAATTCTCCTCCGCCCGGTTCCTAGCCCTGTGGGTTTGAGATGTGGACCCTGGATCTCGTCCATCCCCCAGGGCGGCTCAGGGCTCTCTCCCGCAGGTGGGAGCGATGTGATCTGCGGGGCAGGCGGAGCCCACAGCTTACTGAACGGGAGCTGTTGGCTCTGCAGTGACAGTGTTGCGCTAGGGCTACACAGAGCAGCTGGAGAGCTGGGGCAGGCTGGCTTTGCTCCAGTACATGTGCAGGGTCCCAGGCAGGACTGGGCTGGGGCAGCCAGCCTGTGCCAATCCCCGCCACGCTGCCGGTATTGCTCCCCTTGAGCGAAGGGAGGTCAGGTATGTCCCAGCATGCTGCATCCCACCACCCGTGGCAGACTCGGGCTCCCCTTTGCCTCTGCCAGTGGGCAGAGTGCAGGGGAAATGGACAGAGGGGAAGGCCAGGCACCATGTGCCCCAGCACCAGATCACAAGGCTCTGTGGTTTGCCACAGCCCCAATCCACGCATGGGGTCACCCAGGGTGGGTGAGGTAATTGCGTCTCACTCCACAAAAGGCTGTTTGGGGGACGGTGCAAGGGCAGGGGTGGGGGCGGCAGGACGAGCTATAAATAAGCTCTGTGCACACGTAGTGACTCAGCAGTGGCGGGGAAAGGAGGACAGGAAAACAAAAGGCAAACTCTCCTAAGCTGCTTACGAACTGCAAACAGCTCTGACACCACAGTCAGCTCCCCACTCTGCCGCTGACGCCCTGGGGGACCTTATGCAAGTCACTTAGACCCAGACCCTCAAAGGTATTAGGCGCTGTGCACCCAGGGGAGTTAGGTGCCTGGACACCTCGCAGAGTCTGTGCCTCAGTTTCCCATCTGTACTATGTGGATAAAACCATTGCCCTTTGGAGGAGGGGAGGTTGTCAGGATGAATCCAATGATTCTGGGGAGGTGCCTGAAGTGGAAGAAAGGATCCAGGGCTGGAGATGACAGAGAGCATCACTTCCGGGTGCTAGTCCAACACATAGCAAGAGACAGTCCCTGCCCCCAAAGATCCCGGTTGAAATAGATGAGACAGACCCAGAGAGGAAAACTGAGTCACAGAATAAGGGATGTGCCCAAGACTACAGTCTAAATAAGTGGCAGAGGTGAGACTAGAACCCAAGTCTCACTTCACTGCCCTAGGCACTGGACCATACTGCTGCTGGAGAAAGCCCAGAGGAAATTCACTGAGACTGTCCTGGGGACTGACCCACTGGCACAGGGACCCTGCCAGCCGGCTCAGCTAGGCAGCCACGGTAAACCTTGGCGAGACATGCAGCACAGTGGCCTGCCCCGTGGCCCAGGAGCTGGCATTTGCGGAACAGGGGAGCACTCGTCTGGGGAATGAGCGCTTCATCCGCAGGTGCAAAGAACAGGCAGCAGCTCAGAGCACTTTTCCTCAAATCCCAGCCACCTCCCTGGTCCTGGGGCCTGGCTGAGCGTCCCCTCCTGTGGCCCAGCTCCGGGTGGCCAGTCCAGTACAGCTGCAGGGCCCTAGGACAAACGGCAGGGGCAGGGCGTCGGCCCACTGACAGCAGCCTGGCGACGTGCCCCGGAGCATGACATGCCCCGCGCACCAGCCCACGTGCTCTGATGGATTCGTGCAATGGGGAACTTTGGCTGCGTGGGATGCCACTGACCCACGGAAAAATCAATCCGGGGCTGCACACAAGGGAGACATGCAAAAACCTGCTTCTCAGTCGGGGCCACGTCAGGTTTTTTGCGCTTCTCACTCGTGTGCTGATCCTGCGCAGCAAAGAGGCGGTGGAATGGACCGTGCGTGAAGACTGGACTGTCCCCTTTAGGCAGAGCAGGGTTAGATGCACTTATACTAACCCCTTGCTCTCCCATAGGCCTTCCCAGCCTAGATCTCATAGCACTCTACAAATGAGCCCAGTGCCGTTACTTCTGCTTTTACACGTGGGGAAACTGAGGCAGGGGATAACATGACTTGCCCTAGGCCACAGGCAGGAATAGAATGAGACTGTCCCCACAGAGCATGGGGAGGGGAGGCCGGACCTTGCCCTGACACTCTGTTTGCTCGTACTCTGGCTCCTTCTACCTCCACCAAGCGTTTGTTAAAAGTTCATTTAAAAACTCTGCTTAAAACAAACGCCAAATGACTTACACACATACATACACACACACACACACACACACACACGTGTGCAATCACACACACACACACGTGTGCAATCACACACAGAGCCGGCCATCGCCTCATAATTAGAAAGGTGAGTGATTAGTTAATTAATCTCTGCGTCGCAACCGGATCTCTCATTAAGACTCTGATTACTCTACAAGAAAGTTCCCTGGGCCAATCAATAGTCACCGAAGCCCCTTTATGGACTGATGAGTTGACCTTTGCAGCTCAGTTTCATTACATCCATTGCCGGGCTGGCGGATAATTCTTTATGGATTTGGCATTAAGACCAATGCGCCAGATCCCGGGAGACTTGCTTCGTCTTCTCTCAGACAAAATTCTCATTGACGTTCCAGGGGCATTTTCCCTGAATATTGACCACAGAGCGGCCCAGCTTCCAGTGCACCACAAAGCACCAGGGGATAAGTGGGGTGTGCAGCAGAGGCGAGGACTCTGGCAGGGTCACTCACCCCAGCTAGGCTCCTTTGGGTGCTCAGACCCAGGCACTGGCAACGCTCACTACACTGCACGTCAGCAGTGCCTCGCGGCCTCTAGTGCTCGTGGAACCGCCACCATGCGGATTTGAACCTGGGACCCTGAAGCTTAGTTCAGGAAAGCCAGCTGGCTCCCAGCCCAGCTTGTAGAGGTCTCTTGATCTTTTCTGTTGCTGTGGTCTGTGTGCCACTGCATGGGCCAGTGAACCACACTAGAGCTATGTCTACGCTCGCATCTTGCGCGAGTAATATGCAAATGAGACTAAGCGTGGAATATCGCCGAGCCTCATTTGCATAACTAATGAGCCGCCATTTTGCGGAAGAGGCTCTTGCGCCAGAAGGAGCGTCTACACTGCCCCTCCTTGCGCAAGAAAACCCCCCTTGACAACGCCGCTACACCTGTTACTTGAGAGGAAGAACGGCGTTGTCAAGGGGGGTTTTCTTGCGCAAGAAGGGGCCGTGTAGACGCTCCTTCTGGCGCAAGAGCCTCTTCCGCAAAATGGCGGCTCATTAGTTATGCAAATGAGGCTCGGCGATATTCCACGCTTAGCCTCATTTGCATATTACTCGTGCAAGGAGACGCGAGTGTAGACATAGCCCAGGTGTGTGGGTTACACTCGCTTTCTGACAGACCAGTCACAGCACCCCTGGAATCAGCGCACTGGAGACAGGAATTGCAGAATGTTCCCAGCCAACACCCTCGTGGCTCCAAGCCACAAACATCTAATGGGGAAACTGAGCCTAAGAGTGACACTCCAGCCAATCAGGGAACGGAAAGCGACCCACATGACCCTTTTGAGGCCAATCAAAACCCAGCTCAGGTTTCAAATATTCTTCCAGCATCTACAGGCCAAGAACCCGTCACAGAAATGATGGGACGGAGCATTCTGACTACCAAAGGCACTTAGAAAACCAGGGTGGGTTACAGAAATCTCCAGATTCAGAATAACAGCGAGAGTTGCTGACTAAAGCAGAGAC